TTATTATATATATATATATATATATATATATATATATATATATATATACAATATATATTGTATAAATATATTGTATAAATTACCTTAATTTTATTGTACATTGTGATGAGGATATGTTTATAACAGCAGCAAAATCTGATAAAGTAGGACTTTCTATGGCTTGATAAAATAAAGTTTGTTGATTCTAAAAATGAGATAGTAAAAAAATAATGAAAACTATACATATATGGTAATAATTATATAACAAAAATTGATAACTTACGGTATTTTTATTATTAACTACAGGATTACAAACGCAAATAGGTTGCGGATTAAGAAGAGCACATATTCTATCTACAATAGTTATATCCACTTCACTTTTGCAAGGTTCCAATTCAATACTAAAAAAAAAAAAAAAAAAATAAGTGAGACAAAGAGATGTCACATTTATTATATTATATATATATACATACACATACTTACTCAATTTTTGTCTTTGGATTTGCACATTTTACTAATTGTGCATATCCTGTATTTTGAATATCTTCTACGTATTTAAATTTCATTTTAAAATCTGTTTTATTAGTGAAACCAAAATTTGTTGAATTTTCTTTTGGAAAAGTAAGCAATTCTACAAATTCTGATGATGGAGTACTATTTGTTTCAGAATTATTTGAGTCAATTAAACATTCAACAATTTCTAAGCTAGCTAAAGTAAGTGTTCCTGATACAACAGATAATAAACAAACATTTTTTTCTCTTCCTTCAATTACTAATGGTGCAGCAAGTAATCTATAATAAACAAGAATTTAAAAATTAATTATTCTTTAATATTTATATTATACATATACTAATTATAAATACCTAATATGACTTAAATGACAAGCATCCAAGAGTATTTTTGATGCTTTATCGAAATCTTTGTTCCCATATCCCCCAACTGCAAACATTCCTAATTGCTTGAAAAATTCGTCTGCCGAATTTTTCATTTGATATATACTAGAAGATGTTAAACCACCTTCTTCTACACATGTGGTCAGTATGTCTTCATGTAATAGAATTATAGCTATAGAAGATACTCTCACATGAAAATGAGATGTTTCTGCAGATGGGCTATTATCTACACTATGTCTGTGTTTTTGTTGCTTTGGTAAATTCGTTGCAGAATTTTTTAAACTAATACTACTAGATAATATACTCCCATCCATACTAATATTATTGCTTGTAATTGAATCACTCATTGAAGTAGAACCTGGTAATCGCATTGGTAAAAATTCATCTTTGTTATCAGAGTCATCTAAAGATGCTGTTGACCAACCTTGTGTATGCCTTAGATCCTATTAGAAACTTTGATTTAATTTATTATATTTTATTGAAGTTTTATGAACTTTTTGTAAAATGTATATATATTATATATATATATATATACCATAGAACGTAATCCTTGAGATGGATGTATTTGATGAATTAGTTCTCGTTCTACGCGATTAAAATCGCTACCAGCCATAGGCTTTTCAGTACAAGTTCTTGGAGCAACATTACTAACATCTTCTGAATCAGGAGATGCCAATCCATGTCCTAATTCCAATAATACATGTACTTGACGTGGACTTAAAAATGAAGTGAATGATCCTAAGTTTATTTCTAATTCTACCTGAAATAATCAAATCACTTTTATTTTAAGCCAAATATATATTATAATTTAACACTATAATTTTTTTTTAATATTACATGAAGTTATTTATTTTTAATTAATTTTTACCTTTGGCCCTGACACACCTTCTCCTTGTTTTAATTTCAATCTTATTTCTTGTCTACCTGCTAACTTAGCAAACATTATAGGATTTGATTCACTTAAATTATTAATAATATTTCCTTCTGGAGAAGTTTGTATATTTTGAGTACTAGATACTTGCGCAGAAGAGAAATGACAATCTGAATTCTGTAAAAAAAATATTTCAAACAAAATTCTTAGTTTATGTTTTTTTACTAACTTTTAATAAAAGTTACTTTAGACTCTGGCGTAGAACCCCTGCTAGATGTTATAATACTTCTAGAAAAAGTTCTTGCTCGAGATGGGAATTCATCTGTATGGAAAGTCACTCCTTCTAAATAAAATCGTTTTGTTGTGAATGCTGACACAACATATCCTTTTGTTGATTGACTAGGATCTAATGAAGTACTGCTTGGATCTAATCCAGCTTCATCTGAATATTCAAGATTTTTTATACACACTTCTATTGCTACTCCTGTTGAGGAATCCAGTGGCACATGTTCCAAACGTATAACAGTATCTATAAATCTTACTTTTACTCTACATAAAACTAAAAAAGAGATACACATATATAATATATATAATACATATATGTATATAATTTTTAGTTATTTGTACTTATAATGCATTTGTAATAAATTTTTACTTGAATCTATTGTTTGTGCAAACAATTCTACTCCTTCTAATGGCTGTGAATTTCCAGCATATTTAGCATCTTCTTGTAAACATTCTTGTGCAAGTTGCATGCTAGATGTCATAGAACTCCACATAGACTCAAACATTGAAGTTCCACTTTTAACTCTTTGTCTAGGCTGAACTGTTAATCTCAAACTTGTTACTTCCACATAACTAGCTTCACTAAGCAAAGCTGACCATGGTATACTAACAGACATTTCTGATACAAAACCATCAACAAATTCTAATGGAAGTTGTTGTTGCTCTCCTAATTCATTAAGAGCCTATTATGATAAAAAATGCATCATAAATTTCATTTTTTCTATTTTTTTAAATTATTATACATAAAAAAATTATTTTACACATAATTCAGAACAATATGTTTATTTTTATTTTTCCTAACTGAAGATTAACAAAGAAATTTAAAACAAAGAAAATGATTACCTGTACATCAAGGCTGACATTGGTTACACGACCAGTTCCATTGTATAGATCTACAGTGAGTTGATCTAATGTCAATTTTTCTTCCAAGAATTGACCCAGATATCGTTGTAAAAGATATCTGCAAGCTCGTTTTTTGATCCCTTGAGACCAAGGAATACATCCCAACCAAGACATTTTATACCCACGTTTGACAATCTAATCTATAAAAGACATGGGATTTTTAAAAATAATTTTCTTCATACGTTTTGTATTAGGCCTGTTATTCGGGCACAATGTAAGAAAAACACGTGAATTCCATTTTTCTAACACGTGTCTACTTTGGTGCAATGATCCTTAACACAATACGGTGATTCGGATGTAACGGGGTTCTAGCTGCGTAATATTTTCTTTTGGATACACTACACGCACATGCATATGCACACGCGTATACACATAGAATTCTGACTATCGGACAAACACTGAAATGAAACACTGGTGTCTCATTGACTGAAATCAGCTGACTATGAAAAGAGATGCACTGATGTTTGTGTTTTCCAATAATCTTTCACTTTTCCTGTAGCGACTGAAATTCAATCTATATTTCTATCTTATATGATATAAAAATTTTATTAAGCTAAAGTATATATAGTTTTTATTATTTATTATAATTTTATTTTTTATTCTTCAGTAACGAATGAAATGATGCATTAAGGTTTGATAAATAAAATTAATCTATATTTGATTTTTTGAATATTATTCATTAAAAGATATTTAAAGAAAATTAATTTTATTCTTTATTATTATTAATACAAATATATTAATAAAATACAAATTATTTTTATTAAAATATTATTATTAATTTTTAAAAATATGCTATAAAAATTTTTAAATGCACATAAATGCATATATGTGTAAAAAAAAAGATTTTTATAAAAATGATTTCTTATTAAAAAAATAAAGATTTTTTTCTTATTATTTTTTTTTTAAAAATGTATATACGAGCAAGTTTTTAAATATGTAAAAAATATTAAGTATTTATTTAGCATTCTTTTTATATCATATATATTTTTATATATATTTTAATAGTTTAAATTATTTACTAAATTTTTTTATGTATATTAATATTTCATGAATAAATATTTTTATACAAAATTCTTTTTATTTATAAAATATAATTTAATCGTTCAAATAAAATTGTTTAAAAATAATCAATGTTAAATGGAAGGTTTACTAGCCTGTATGTATCTATATTCATTGTAGTTTCTATAATATATATAATTTTTTTGAGAAGTTTAATTATATAGTAATAAAGAGATCTGTCTCTAAAATTATTTAATAATATATTAGAAATTTATTAAGAATTGTTTTCTTCTTTTCTATAGTATACTGTGAAATCAATTTTTTTTTTAATTATTCGAAAGATGGCACTAACCAATATTTTACTTCTTAGTCAAATATCTGGATATGTCGTAGCTCTTGTTTTGTCACTTTGTATTATCATACCAATGAGTTTACATGAAGATGAATTTAAGTAATTGTTATTTTAAATAAGGCACATAAAAAATAATAGAATTTACATGTAAAAAAAATATATCTATTTAATATTTGTTTACAGAGGACATTGTCTATTATTTTCAACAGGAACTTGGCAAGAATCAGATGGTCAATTTATAGTAAATTGGGCTTCACAAGCTTATTGTAATTATACAATATTTGTTGGTTTGATGTTATTATTAATATCAGCAATACAAATTTATCGACTTTCTTTACTTATGTATCGTGGAGAAGACAGTTCCTTTTTATCTGCATTCATAGATGTTGTTAGTTCAATATTTCTTACAACAATAACTTTAATTGCTGCAATTATTATTACACTTGGATTTATGACTTGGTGTCAATGTATGACTAAAAGATTTCCATCTTGTGAATTAGCAGCTGGGAATGATATTGATAAAGCTGATGGTATAGATACATCTGGTTTTCATATTGAATTGGGTGCAGTTCAATTTGGTACTTGGACCAGTTTATCTATTTGGGTTGGTCTATCAGTATTTGCAGTATTAAAATTATTGCGATATCATCAATTAGAAAATATGAAAGTTTCAATGTATAGAGAAAGACAAAGATTAATAGAAGCAGCCAGAAATAATGAAATACAAGAATCAACTTAAAAATATGATTGTGTAACATATTTAAACTTTAAAATAACTTTAAAATAGCATTTTATTATTCTTACTTTTCAGAAAAATATTTATACTCAATGAAATTAGTTTTAAACGCACATTTTATATAATTATATATATATAATTAATATAATTATATATGACTTAACATGATTATTAATCTATTAAAACAAATATTAAAAAACTATATTTATTAAATTTAAGAAATTATAATATTGAATTGAATGTGATTTGTAATTAAAAGAAATAATTTATTACATACATTTTTATCTTTATACATATCAAGACTGTATAAAACTATAATTTATAATCTTTATAGTGTTAGAATTTAGATTCAATATCTTTAATTTAAAATTAATATATTATTTAAAATATAATAAAATATAAAATATATTTAAATAATATTAATGATATATATATATATAATATTTTATTGTATTACTATAGTATTTTTATCTAATTGTATATAATATATCAGAACAATATAAATTATAATAGTTAAAAACTAAATAGTTAAAAACTATAAAAAAATATATTAAAAAAAAATATAGTATAATGATGTAAATTGATAGTTTTGTGAATATAGATATTTGAAATCACATCCTATGAATGTGCAAAATAAGAATTTTATGTTATAAAAATATAAATATAAATATAATAATAACTATATTTTGTAAATATGTTAATATATTATTATAATATATCTGAATTATAATAGTATATCGAAATTTATTATATAAAAAAAATCAAATGATAAATATCTTTTTATATAAAAAATAAAAATTATTACATAAAAGTATTAATTTATTATTTTTTTACATATTCCAAGTGCATTTCTACGACTTCCAACAGGACATTCTTCAGATATATCAATTATTAAAAATGTTTTAATTTCCGATATACATTCTAATTCAAATGTAATTTTATTTACTGCTATTTTATTTACTATTTCATTAAGAGCACAGGATTCATTAGTTATTAAAGAATAACATGTGTTATTATATTGTACTAGACCATCCTGTAGGCAAGGATTTTTTATACATTTTGGTATAACTTCATTTTTAGGAAGCATAACGTAATGCTGTGGTGCACATGGTCCTTGTCTATATGCTTCATGACAACTATTATTCAATGGAAAATATAGAAATCCTGGTTTACAATCACATATTCTTATATTTCCAGGTCCAGAATAAAGAAACATATTTTTAGGACATGAATCTGGTATAAATATTGGATTACGTTCTGTTATCTAAATAAAAAAAATATTTTTTTTTTCAAAAAATTTTTTTAAATTATTTTTGCAATATTATATTAATTTTTTTACCGTCTCAATATTGTTGTTTGTGTAATGTATTTCTTCATCACTTGGAAAAACAATATCTTGACAAGATATATAATTCCATATTATTAATGTAATACTAAAAACTAGCCACTTCATTTTGTATATACGACACTAAAATTTTTTGTAAATTTTTTAAAAATTGAAAGAAATATTTAATTATACTCAATATATTTAATTATGTTAATAAAAAATAATAGATTATTGAAATTTTTATTAAGAAGTAACGTAAAGTTACATTATCAAACTCTTCACTTTTTAAGTATTTACTCTTTGTTTGAGTATTATTGAAAATAATAATTAAAGATGTTGATGAAACTGATGTTTGTTTGAGTGAATGTAGATTTGATAACCCTGATTTATAAAACAATTAAAAAAATAAAAATCAATTAACCAATCAACATTAAGCATATGTTTTTTAAAATTATATTATATCCTATGTTTCCATACAATTATATAAATGCATATCTTTAAAAATAAATTATTAATACAAAATTAATTTTTTTGATTTATTTTATAAATATAAGATTTATTTTAGTAATAAAGTTAAATATTAAGTTTATAACAAGTTTTATGATAATAAACTTAACAAATATAGTATTATTTTATAATTCAAAAATATTTAATCATTTGCATATGGATCAAAACTTATTCTCACATCATTAGCACTTGATAAAAATGAACTTTGTTTAAATTCTGGCCAAGATTTAAAATCCATATAAAGATCAAAAATTTCACTTATACTTAACTGCTGAAATTCAGTAAATATATTATAATTTTTGTCTTTTATTAATCTTATACCACATCCAGGAACTATTTTCCTAAAAAAATTTTATAAAATTAAAAAATTAAAATAGAAAAGATATTTATATATTAATATATTTTAATGGAAATTTTGAGCAAATATTAATTCTATACATTTATACTCACTCCAAAGTTGGTATTATTTTTGTTGAAGGTTTATATAAATTTTGTCGAATAAAATGCCAAAAATTGATTATATGTTCTTTTTCACCAAATAATGTAAAAATATCAGGTTTTGGTTCGAATTTAACAACATAAAAAAAATTATTATCAGTTTCTATTTTTTTATATTTCTTTAATCTTTTTCTTTTTTGCCATGGTAAAAATCCTTTTCTATCTAATGTTCCAAATATTGTATAATTAAATAATATATTAAACATGACATAAGTAATTAAACTTCCACTACCTTGATATATTAATTTCTAAAAACAGTACATTGATAATTAATATAATAATTATTCAATAGTAATTATTATTAGTTATTTGATTTATAATTAAATAAAAAAATATTATTGAATATTGTATGTATTGAATATGTATTATTGAACATAAATATAAATAATAAAATAAATACTAACATTCCATATAGTTGGTGATATTGCAAAATAAAAAATTATTCTTCCATTTATCATGAAGCCTGTTTGAAATATTGTACTTAATATTATATGTCTTATAAACTGAGAATTAACTAATGTTCCAATTATTTGCATATAACTTTGTTCTTCCCATTTTCTTTTGGATACATTATTAAATAATTGATTAAAATATTTTAATTTATCAGGTATATATAATAGTTTGGATATTTTAAGAAAATTTGTTTCAGTTATAATAATTCGATTAGGAAAGATTTTTTGTAAATTATATAATTCAGAATAAAATATGCTACGATTTTCATATAAATGTATATGTTCTATACCAGCTTCTAATAAATCTTTTGTTAATAAACCATATCCTGGATTTAATTCAACAACATAAGACATATTTAACAATAAATCATCTTTAATTAATGTAGCAAAGTGATTGCTTACTTTTTCATTTATTAAAAATGGATTATTATTATTTATAGATAATTTTAAATAATGTTGCATAATTTTCTGTCTATATGCAGGATTAATATTTTTCTGTAAATATTCAGAAAATATTGAAATGTTATTATCATTTTTTACAATATTTAAATAATTTGTACTATTTGATGATTTTATATTATAACATAATAATTGCAAACTTGAATATGAAATATGTTTTTTTGTAAAATAAAAAATAACACTATTATATAACTTAGTAATTCGTAACATAAAGATAATTGATAATATTATTAATTTGTCATACAACAATATTTTATTTATTATCTTGTCTTGTAATAAATATTATATTTTAAAATATTTTTAAGGTTATTCTTATACATTTCACAATTTAATATAAAATTCGATAAAGCTTGAAATTCACTTTAGTAGATATTCCAAATTATGTTATTATTTGAAAAAATATGTATACAAAGCAATCATTATTTTCTATTTTTTATTATAATTAAAATTTATATTCATAACGTATGCGATTTTAAAACACGATACAATATGATAATCAAAATAATCAAACTTAAAGTATAATAATGATTCTTTATATAATTTTTATTATTTTTATTATGTATATATATTGATATCAGTATTTAATTAAATGTTTGAATTATTATCTGAATAGTGATACAGTTCGTTATAATTGTTCATTAATTCTTTGATTGATCAGATATTACAAATTATTAAGTAATTATTATTAATTTTATATATAATTATAAATTTAATTTTTACGTTTTTTACTTTATAATTTAAAAATAATGATATTATACAATATTAATTTTTTGATGGATTCCTATATATAACAGAACTAATTGAGCGAATTTTATACTGTAATGTAATTTTTAAATCAAAGTTTATATTTTTATTTGAAATAATTTAAATATTTTCAACATTTTTATTTAATTTTTTTTATATATTTATGATAGGAATTTATAAAAATTATGATTTCTTGAAATATTATAATAATTGCTATCTATAATTTAAAAAAAATATTATTGATTCCATTTCATTTCATATGTTTATTATTAGAAATTTCATTTATATTGTTTTCAATATATATTTAACAAATATAAATATAAAAAAATTATTTAACTTGTTAAAATATCAAAGAGTTAATATGTAACTTTGGAAAGAACTTTATGATATTTTATTTTCTTGTATTACTTTATATAACCTTGAAAATTAATATTACTTTCTAAGTTTTTTGTTATAATTTTTTTTATAGCTTGTGATTTAGAATAATTATGTGTAAAATATATTCAAAGAATTGTGAGTGAAAGATTTAGTGACTTTTGTTAAGAAAAACAGTCTAAATATTTAATATCACAGGAATAAATTATAAAATGGCCCAAAGTGCTTGTTTATTATCTCGAATAATGGCTACTTCTGTATCTGCTACCGTAAGAGCAGGTAAAATCATAAGAGATGTTATGACTCATGGAAGTTTAAATATAGTAGAAAAAGGCAAAAATGATTTACAAACTGAAGCTGATCGTTGTGCTCAAAGGTGTATTATTGCTTCATTAAGCCAACAGTTTCCAAATATTACTATCATTGGTGAAGAGGAACCATCAAACTGCGATATACCATACGATTGGATTGTAACTGATGCAGATCAAGAAATGTTACAATTAAAATTACCAACTCATTTGGAAGATATAGATCCCAAGGATGTGTGTATTTGGGTAGATCCATTGGATGGTATTTGTATATATTATTTATTTCAATTATATTATGTAAATATATTTTATTTGTAAAATATATCAAATCAAGTTAATATTTTTAGGAACATCAGAGTATACACAAGGTCTTGTAGAACATGTTACAGTATTAGTAGGGGTGGCAATTGGACATAGAGCAATTGGAGGTGTAATTCATCAACCATATTACAAAAATAATGAAAATGAAATATTAGGACGTACTCTTTGGGGTATTAACGGTGTAGGATTTGGTGGGTTTGCACCAATTGCTCCACCACATGGAAAATTAATAATTACAACCACAAGGTATAATTTTATTTTAAAACAAGTTAATTAAATTTTAAAGAGAAAATTAAAAACATATATTTTTTTAGTTCACATTCAAACTGTAATGTTCAAGCAGCTATAAATGCTTTATCTCCTGATGAAATTTTACATGTTGGTGGTGCTGGATATAAAGTAACTAGAATAATTAAAATTTTGCATGATTAAATTATTATCTTCCAAATAATTTTAATATTTCTATTTTTTTTTCAATAGGTAATACTTTTAATGGAAGGGAAAGCTCATGCTTATGTATTTGCTAGTAATGGTTGCAAAAGATGGGATACTTGTGCCCCTGAAGCTATTCTTCATGCTATTGGTGGTACATTAACTGATATTTATGGAGAATATTATTCTTATAATGCAGAAACAACGTATTCTAACGAAAGAGGTATATTAGCTACTGCACCTGGTCAGAATCATCAATGGTATTTGAATAATATACCATATGAACTAAAGCAAAAATTAGAATAATAATGTATATAATTTTACACAAAATATTTAATATATATTTAAACAGGAGATCAGATATCAAAATATTCTATTAATATGACTAGAATAGAAAATGTGTAATTTTTTTTTTATATTTCAAACTTTTTATGAAATAAACTAAAAAAATTATAAAATATTAGTAAAAAATCGATCATTGTTTATAAGAAGTATGTTCTGATAGAAATTTTTGAATATTATTTTAGTAATTATTTATACTTATAACATTTTTTGAGCCTCTTTAAAACGAATATAAATATAAACAAAAAATGTTTAAATTAATTTTATGTTTCTTTGCTGATATTTTATAATTTTGATTTGAGCGTATCACGTAATACTCGACGCAAAATTTTTCCCGACGCAGTTCTTGGAATATTTTCAATGAATTTTATGCCCCCTCGAAGTCGTTTATGACTCGATACTCGTTCTGTAATATATTTCATTAAGTAAATATAAAGAATTATTAATTAAATGATTAATAATTTACCATTTACGAATTTAATAATATCTTCCGCCGTTATATTAGATCCTTTTTGTTTAACAATAAAAGCAGTGGGTAGTTCTCCTGCTTCTTCATGTGGTAGTCCAATAACTGCTGCATCTTTAATTTCAGGACATGTTAATAATATTGCTTCTAATTCAGCAGGTGGAACTTGAAATCCCTTGTATTTAATGAGTTCTTTCAAACGATCTACTATATAGAAATAACCCTGTTCATCATAATATCCTACATCTCCTGAATGTAACCAGCCATCTTTATCAATTGTTATTGCTGTAGCCTGTTCATTATCACAATATCCTTTCATTATTAAATCTCCTTTGAAGCATAATTCACCAATATTATGTGGTCCTAGAGGTTTATTTGATTTATCTCCGTTTATTGATATTACTTTTGCTAAATATAAGGAAAAGGTTCGTAAAGATAATTGGTTAATGTTCATAAAGATAAAATTTATAAAACAAATTTTCAGTATCTTACCTGCTATTCCTGGAACTAATGTTCCTACACTTTTATATTCTATATTATTATCAGGTGAATTTATAACAGCCAATGTAGTTTCTGTTAATCCATATCCTTGCTTTATTGTTGGTACATTTAATCTTTTTGCAACCATTTTTGCAATTTCCTCAGATAGAGGTGCTGCACCACACCTAATAAAAGATATAAATGAATCTTTGATTTTTGATAAAATTAAAAATCTTTTTTTAGTAAATTTTTTTTTTTTTTGAATTTACCAAATTTCTTTAATGCTAGATAAATTGTATTTATCTACAATTGGATGTTTTGCTAAAAATACCATAAGTGGTGGTACAATAGTTATATGCTCAATTTTATACTTTTCTATGGCATGTAAGAACATTTTTTCTTCAAAACGTGGAAGAATAATACTTTTACTTCCAAAAATAAGACCTACTAACATTACAGAAAAGGAATACACATGGAAAAAGGGCAATAAGGCTAAACTTGTTGTATTGGTATTTAAAATATTAGGTGATACAGCTGCAAGATTTTTTATTACGGACAAAAAATTTTTATCTGTTAACATCACTCCTTTTGGCAATCCTGTAGTGCCACTGGAACATGAAATAACTGCCACATGATCATTAACATTTACTGAACAGGCATGAAAGTTATTATCAATGATTATATTTGATGTTAAACTGTTAATACTTGGTAATTTATTATTTGTAGATTCTGTTAATATTATAAGTTTTGGCAACCAGAATAATTGAGGTGTTATTTTATATATATTTTTTGCTCCAAACATTGATATAAAAATGTATTTCGGTTTGGATATATTTAATGCATGTTTTAATTCTCTTTCTGTATAAAGTGGATTCAACGGGCAAACAGTAACACCTAAATAAAATGCAGCACATACTATTAGACAAAATTCTAGATTGTTTTCACTACATATAGCTATCCGATCATCTTTTCTTAATCCTTCTTTATTAAGAGCAATTGCTAATTTTTGACTAATTTCTAGAACTTCTTTAAATGTTTGTGTTTTTCCTGTATAAGCATCTATCTGAAAAAATTAAAGTTACTTTAACTAATATGAAATAAATATATTATTTCTATAAATTTTAATAAAAAGAAAAAAGATTATTACTTGTGCTATCCAAGAATTACGAATACTTAATTGATTTAAAATCAATTGTCCTAATGATATATTTTTAAATTTCACATCAGATAATGATGGCCCATATAAAATATTTTCTTCTCTCATATTAAATATTATTTTTTTTATATTTTATAACTACTGAAAAATCTATTATATATTTATTTTAAAAATTATATTTAATAAGCAAGTAATCTTAATCTTTGAACAACTAAAAAATAATTTTGCTTACCTAGTTATAGAAATAAAATTACAATTAAATTGAATTGAATATTTTTTAAAATAATATAATTATTTATTTAAATTAAATGTACTTTTAATAGAAAATACAAAATAAAAATTATAATATTCAATACTATTTTATCAAATACATTTACCTATAACTATATTCGCTTTTTTTTCACACTTATCATGAGTAACTGACAAAATATGGGGAGTGGTAAAGTAAAATAATTATTTAATTTTTATATTAATCATTTTATATTTTTTTATCAAAATTTATACTTATAAATACAATATCAATAAATTTAATTAAAATATTATACGAAACCAACTTTCTACGTGTCTAGCTTTATTATTATTTACAATTTAAATAAAGTAATCATCTATAATGGCTATAAAATTACTAAAGATGGCAGCACATAAGTACATGAGATTGTATACTAAGTTTAATCTATAAATCTATGTTATAGGTTAAATATGAGTGTACAATTAAAACAGTTGTACTCGTTTCATTTATCAACAAATTTTTGAAAACGATTAAAAAAAAATAAGTCGTTTAGAGAAACACGAATTAATAATAGAAAAATGGGTGTACCAGCATTTTTTAGATGGTTGAGTCGAAAATATCCTTCTGTAATAGTAGAATGTATCGAGCAAAAGGTAGGTTAGATTATGTATTTGGACGAAGAATATTTTTCTTATAATATGTATATAAAATATTGTAATTTTATAGCCAATAACTACGAATGGTATACGAGTACCAGTGAATTCGGCAGAACCAAATCCAAATGGAATAGAATTTGATAACTTGTATCTTGATATGAATGGTATTATACATCCTTGTACTCATCCTGAAGATAGGTAAATATTTGGAGAAATAATTATTAACTTATAAGATAATTAAATTATTATATAATAATAAATATTTTTTAAGACCTGCACCACAAAATGAGGATGAAATGATGGAAGCTATTTTTGAATGCATTGATCGTTTATTTCGCATTGTAAGACCAAGAAAATTACTTTACATGGCAATTGATGGAGTTGTAAGTGTTTATGTAATTATTAATTGTATATTATAATCTATTATTGTATTACTGATTATAAAAATAATTATACATGTATTATATTCACAGGCACCCAGAGCAAAAATGAATCAACAAAGATCAAGACGATTTAGAGCATCAAAAGAAGCAAGTGAAAAAATTAATGAAATTAAAAGAATACGTTCTGAATTATCCCTTAAAGGAGCATCTTTACCTCCTGAAAAACCAAAAGAAGAGCATTTTGATAGCAATTGCATTACACCGGTTTATATAAAATTTCATTATTAAATTTTATATACAAAGAACAATTTTTTATCTTAATTTAATTTTAGGGTACACCATTTATGGCAAGATTATCAAAATGTTTGCATTATTATATACATGATCGTTTAAACAATGATCCTGGATGGAGAAATATAAAAGTAATTTTGAGTGATGCAAATGTGCCAGGAGAAGGAGAACATAAAATAATGGATTTTATACGTAGACAAAGAGGTAAGTAAACAATTAGATATTTAAGGTATTATATTACATGAAAAATTAAATTTAAAATTTTTTTATTTACACGTAAAAGCACAACCTGATCATGATCCTAATACACAACACGTTTTATGTGGAGCTGATGCTGATTTAATTATGTTGGGTCTTGCAACTCATGAACCTAATTTTACTATTATTCGTGAAGAGTTTAAGCCAAATAAACCAAAACCATGTGATATATGTGGTCAATTAGGACATGAAATGCAGGAATGTACGGGTGCAGAGCCTAATCAGAGGGAAGAAGCGAATACTTTTGGATCTGAATGCCAGTACATATTTGTGCGATTAAATGTACTCAGAGAATATTTAGAAAGAGAATTGCAAATGCCTAATCTACCATTTAAATATGATTTCGAGCGAGTTATCGATGATTGGGTGTTCATGTGTTTCTTCGTAGGAAATGATTTTCTTCCTCACCTTCCATCTTTGGAAATTAGAGAAGGGGCAATAGATAGACTTGTTAATTTATATAAAAAAACAGTATATAAAACAGGAGTACGTAATGTATATTAAAGATAAAAGTAAAGAAATAATGTTTTATATAATTATGTAAAATTTTATGACTATCTTTTTGTTTTTGAAAATTTTTATTTTCAAAATATGAAATCAATAATATAATAAATGAATAAATATTAATCTGAATAATGAAAATCAGTTATAATATTGTACATTAAACGAAGTGAAAAATATTCAATAATAATAATTTTTATTATTAATTATAGGGATTTTTAACAGATAGTGGGGATGTTAATTTAGACAGAGTTCAACTTATAATGTCTGAATTAGGCGATGTTGAAGATGAAATTTTCAAGAAAAGGCAACAGAATGAATTAGCCTATAAACAACGTGAAAAAGATAAAAAAAGAAGATTATTGGGAATCAGTAATAATAAACCAAAATGGATTCCTACAGGACAATTTGCACCGATGGTACGATTTTCTTAATTTAAATGATTTTTAACTTTAATAATATTACATTTTTGTTATAGCGTATTGGTGAACATATCAAACCAGTACAAAATGCACGTTATGAAGCTTACCAAATGCGTGTTCATGGTCAAAATTATCATACAAATGAAAAAGGAAATGCTAAGGAGATGTTA